AAAAAAAATAAAAGCCATTATTTTATTGCGTTTTCTGTTAGTAGTACAGCTAGAAATTATTTATTTTATTATTTATTATTGATATACAAATGATTTACCTTGTTTTGATTTAAATGTATCATTTTCAAATAAAAAATACCAGTGATTAAATAATCTCTGTGTGCATAGATTGTCCTTCAAGACAGAAAGGACGGAGAGGGTGAAGGGGAGGAGAGTGGACATCACAGGGGTTTTAGGGAAAGGAGCTTGTACTGGTCTCCCCAGGTCTGGTCTTCAAGAGCAACACCTCAGGGGGTGCTGCCAATTTGTATTGGTCAATTTAAGTTGTGGAGGTTAAACTAGTCCAATTAACCCTCTTCCAGAGGTCTTTTGCTGTTGATGATTTAAGGAGATTTATTAAACCTGCTGGAATACAGACAAACCTTTGCTCTGAGTTTTAATGGATTGTATTATTAGCTCAAACGGGTGTATTTTATTTTACTTACAGTTGATGTTTTAACACTCTTATTTGGCAATAAGGTCTTTTGAAGCGCTGGGGGGGGGGGATGTTTTTAATTGTCCAGTTAGAGGCCTCCTTGGTGGTTCATGAAAACTGCCCATTCGGAACTCAGACCAAACCCTGTAGTCCAGATGTTAGGAGTCCGAGTCTGCAATCCGTCACTAGATGGCCGAGACCAGGATCTCCAGAGTCTGAATCAAGCCCAGCCAAAACTCTAGTATTGCACAAGTGAGTCAGGTATCTCTGCTTGCTAGTGACTTGGCAGGGCACCTGCAAGCTCTCATGTTACCCGTGAGAACAAGATCACTCACTCGGTTCACTGCAAGTCTACTGTGAAAGCCTAAAGGGGATCGGTGGTTCTACCACTAACCCCCATGCATTCCTCAGTGCAGGTTGAGCACTACGACAGCTGGAATTCCCCAGTAGAGACACACAAGAAGCCCATTACTTCTGGAGGCAGGGCTGGAGCTAGCTGGCCAGGGCTCTTGCAGTTTGTGGTATAAGAGAGGGCCCTATGACATGACGCTGCCTACACACTGCGCAGACCCTCCTGGCGGTTACTGTGGCGCTCCCGATGTGACAGAGTGTGGAGAGCTTGATGGGTGGGCGTGTCGGAGAAGCCTGCCAGCACTTCCTCTTTCTGTGAAAGGGGCCATCTCTGGGCGCCGAGACATGAAGACACATCTGCCCCTTCCACATCACACGAGTACAGAAACTAAAAATAATGGTTATTCTACATTTAAAACAAAAACAAACAATTCTCCAGTTAATCACAGTTAGCTCCAGTGACTGGGTGTTTGGATAAAAGGAGCATGAAGAGACTGCATTCCAGAAGC